TTTTTTATGCCAATACTATACGACATATATATACTTTACAAGAACCACTTTTCTTCTCTGAACCTTGTTATAATTTGGAGTCTGAAGCTCTACAAGTATCCACTCTTTATTCTTATATATGGTCAGATCCTGGGAAGCTTTTAAGGGAATTGCCGATTTGCTCAATATCGTTGGCTCAATCTTTGGAAACATGGGCTGAAATTAGGAAAATTTTAGGTGTAAGCCATTTAATTCCTAGAACATGTAAATTAAATATATTAGAAATTAATGTAGAGGATTTATCATTGAGACACTGGCCTAACAAAGATATATTAACCTTATCGGATATTATGCAAGGTGATGATATCCTACCATTTCAACAGATTGTAGATAATTTCCATATTCCATCTAAAGAATTATTTACATATTTTCGTATCAAACATTATATCCAGAAACATGTTATCCAATCTTCTTTTCCTCGGGCTAAAGAATTGCAAATTCTTTTTTCATTTCAAACTGTACCCAAGGTTGTTTCGGTTGCTAATATGCTTTTTAAATGTTTAGATACTTTTCCCTACAAATTGGTTAAATCATGGGAAAATGATCTTAATTTAGTGATTTTCCCAAAGGAATGGTTTTCCTCTATAATTCTAGTAAATAAATTTGTCCATGGTCTAAACTTGACTGAGTGCCATTTTAAGTTACTCCATAGATGGTACTACACTCCGACAAGATTGGCTAAAATGTATATTTCTCAAGATCCTACCTGCTGGAGATGTGGTACCTACCAGTGGCGGATCCAGAGCCTGATCTCGGGAGGGGCACTTGTAGATTATTTAAAGAAATAATCCAGACACAATAACTACTACAGCTCAGTGTAGTGGTTATGGTGTCAATAGTGCCGGGACCCCCTCCTAGAGTAAGTAGTCAAACCGTTTAAGAACAGTTTGACAACTTACCTGAGGTCTGCTGGGAAATGGGGCGGTAGTAGGGCATAGGAGCAGTGGTGTGTGTGAGTGGTGCAATGTGTAAGGGGTGCAGTGTGTGAGGGGGACAGTGTGTGTGTGGTGTGTGTGTGAGTAGGGGGGGCAGTGTATGTCAGGGATGCAGTGTATGTGTGGGACAGTTGTGAACAGTTGCAGTGTGTGTGTATGTGGGCAATGTGTGTGTATGGGGCGGCAGTGTATGGGGGCAGTGTGTGTGTATCGGGTAGTGTATGTGTGTAGTGTGTGTGTAGGGGGGCAGTGTGTGTGCATGGGGGGCAG